GAGTGAATATTCTTCTTAGTTACTGCATTATCTTTTGTACACTTAGGCAATGAAGTATAATCATACAGTATGAAAACTCAAAAAATACCCAATGTTAAAGTGGAACTCCAGACACAGGCATCTTCATAGATTCTTAAGAAAAAAGTTACTTCTGGTCATGTGTGTTAAAATAGCAAATTGGTTTATTGGAATGTTTCCTGGTAGCCAGATAGGGCTTAAATGGTTGAGCACCTTAATTTGGATCCTGTAAATTTTGTTTGTATATGCAACACTGATGGATCTGTAATCCCAAGTTGTAATACTAGGTTGTACTGTATTTACGTTTCATATTTGAAAATTTAAGAAAATCAATAAACATTGATTGAACAAAAAAAAAAGCAGATTGGTCTTGGATACTGTATAATTCATTCATTTGTAAATGTAATATGCTGCAGCCAGCATTGTACTTTCTGCTCCTCCTCTCCCCTTGGCCGTTCATAGAACGCCTTGTATTTTATGAACCTTTCACAAAATACATGGCGTTCTGTATATGGACAATAGGATAGGAGGTACAGACAAATGGCACAGTCTGTGTTTGGGGAATACATCTGTACGTTATACGCAGCTTTATACAGAGTAGTAATGTGTGCCCACATATGGCCGTGCACAGCCATTTATATCTACGGGGGGCTTAGGTACCAGTTGTCTATCCCAGTCACAAATAAAATCAATAAATTACACATTATTCCCCTATATGCGCCCATGTGCATGAGCCTTTAAATGTTTAAAATGGCTTACAGGTCCGCTTAAATCCACTCAAAACAAAAAATTTAAAAAAGGCAGCGTATAAAAATAGAACAATAATATTAAACAGTACCACCACTAGTGACTCCAATCTTTTTACCATATTTCCCCACTGTAGTCACAAGTGCGTCCCCATTGCTCTGGGGGGTGGGGGATAGGGAGGGTAAACACAGGCATCCAACGAAGCCAGACTTCTAGCTCTGCAGGAGAGAAAAGTCTTAAATCATCAGTCTCAGGGAAGGTATATTCCATGTATACAAACTGACAAAAACTGCCCTCTTCTAGCCTGATTTCCCCACTGGAATCTATTTTAATTGTTACATTTTCAGTCCATAATGGAACTTGATTTTTAAAGATCTTACTTTATAAAATTCACATATTTTCTGCATTTATTAATAATTATAATTTGGGAATAAAAGTAGCGGTTGCAGGTAACCATGGAAGCCAGGGAGATATCTACAGGAGAAATCATGTTACCCTTGTTACTAGTGTTTACAAACAGAGGAGAACACAACATATTTAAGTGAGCGGATTTTAAATTTATATATACCTTTTATATTTCAGGTTCTCGAAGCTTAGATATTAAAGGTGAACTGCACAAAGATGTTATCTTGCCTTGTGTAGTGGTCTACAAGGATGAATTTAATTACAGTATATTAGTGGTGAATTGGCAGAGACCAGAAAATGATACTCTGGTCCATACCTTTTTTCATGGTTCCAGTCATCCTGAGTATCAGGATGCTCACTATCAAGGACGTACCCAGATTTTCTATGGCTCACTACCTAATGGAAACGCATCTTTACTTCTGAGGAACCTTACTAAATCAGATGCTGGAAGTTACATCTGTCATGTGGTTCTAAAACAGTCTAGTGGATCTCTCACTCAATATGTCAACCTTACAGTTGATGGTAAGATTTTGAATTCAGAGGAAACTAGTTATGATTGGGCTTATGCCAAGATCTGACCTTGTAGTCTTCAATTACAATAATTCTGCGAGGTTGTATTAAAGTGACCCTGTCAAATCATGAAATATATTTTTCAGTTTAAATAGATTGGAGAAGGGTTAAAACATCTGTTAAGCTTGTACTGCTGTGTCTCTGATGCAGGGATCCTCCCTTGCTTACTATGCCATGAGACTTTAACGGGTCTATTTATAACTCTTCTGCCCAGCTTTAGGCGGGGCAAATGCCATTCACACGGCATTCCTGCTACTAGATGGAGTTCAAGAGCATATGAAATTCCTAAGCTCCTTGGCTCCATCTAGTGCCAGGATTCTCCCACCATATGACTAGGAGGAAGAGTTAAAAATAGATAAACTTCCCACTTCCCTCCATAAATTCTCTTCATATTGGTATGGGGAATCTGCTAAGCAGCCAGATACACTGTGTTAGGATCCAGAGCGCCTCCAGGTGGCGCTGGAGCTAAGCCCTGCAGTTTCCGTACTCGCCTGCGGGGGTCTCCAGGCAGCCAGGAACTGCTAGGTACCAGACCTCCACTGGGTGGTGCTGGAAACTGCAACTCCAGTGCTCACCTGCAGGTGTCTCCTAGCTGCCACCAATCCACCACCTGGTGCTCCCTGGGAGGTTACTTAAAGTGACATTAAACCCTCAGATTTTTTAACATAAAACAATAGTGTAATGTGTGCCTTACTGTAATCCATGGTTGTTTCCCTTCTCTTTGCTGCTCTTCCTTTTAAATCCTCCTGTCTTCTCATGCTGGACAGAACTTCCCTTTTCAGCTCAGGGCCTCTTCCTGTAGTGCTGGCTCAGATTACAAGCCTATGCAAATGGATACACAGACACCGTGTATCCATTCCTGAGACAAGGCAGTCTGCTGCAAAACAGAAGTTCTGCAGAGCATGAGAACAGATACAGATTTAAAAGACAGAGCAGCAAAGAGAAGGGAAACAACCATGGATTACAGTAAGGCACACTTTACAGTATTGTTTTATGTTACAAAATCTGAGGGTTTAATGTCACTTTAAGTCCTCCCTGCAGTAAGGTCTGCGGCTCAGTATTGTTTCCTGTTAAGCCTGAGTCCCCTGTCCTGTAACCTGCTTCTGTTCCCGAGTCCTGTATCCTGTGTATGTTCCCTGCTTGTTGTCCAGAACCGTGACCTGTTTATGTTCCTGAGTCCTGTTAGCTCCTTGTACCCTGACCTTTTTTGTCCCTTAGTTCCCCTGGTGTTTTGCTTTGCTCTCTGGGTGTGCTTGCCTGTTTCTTCTTGCATGTGGTGTTGTTTAGATGTAGTTGGTTGCTAAGACTTGTTTCTGTTTGTATTATTCTGGTTGGCATATTAAAACTGTATATCATATATTCTGCCTTGTCCTGTGTGGTCACGTGTTTGGTCTGCCTGTGTGGGTACCTGCGCAGGTGTGGGGTCACCTGTGCCGGTATCCCTGACACACTGTCACCTGTTTTAATGAACTCCTCAATGGGATACATAAAGAATGTACAGAGATTGCATTCTCTTTTTTCCTGGCTTATTTTAATAGGTACTATAGTGTATACATACATTTTTATGAATACATTTTTTCTAAATAGTTTTATTCTCTTCTCATTTTAAGTTTTACTTTCAGATGTGCACGTAGCTGACATGAAAAACGGGACACCCATTGTTGCAATACTGGTACCGCTAACGGCATTGGCTATAGCAATGGTAGCAGTACTAGTATGGTTTTGTCGGATTAAGAAATACAGAACAAAAGATGAAGGTAACCTACACATCTTCTAATATACAAATTGTATTGTAATATACTGTGTGCATTGATATTTTTTTCCATTTAAGAAGAGCTTGTTCGAATTAGGAAACTATTGATATTTGCCATCAGGTGTGAACTATTCTAAATAAATGAGAAATGGAAGCAGATGTGTTTTCATATGGAAAGACAACCACTGATCTTTGCTATTAACACTGTCCAAAGTGATCATGTTTTTGTTAGAGTTATTGAAATGAAGTAAGGCTTTCATTAACCAAGTGTAGTAAGCAAAAATGACACATCCAGTATATAAAAAAATGAGTATTGTGGGTTGGATTCATACATATTTAAGATTTGAACCAAATCTCCCTGTGTTGGGTAAGAGAACCAAAAGCAACCTGGCTGACATGGGACAAGCATATGTTGGTGAGAAGGAGCACATATTAACCACTTGCTGTCCAGAGCATTTTCTTACTATTTGCACACATGTGATAAAATATAAATTTTTGGCTAGAAAACAGCTTCAGACCCCCAAACAATGATATATGTTCTGAAAGCAGAGGCACTGTGGAATAAAAAAAAATGCTAGTTGCAATTTTTTATGTTGCACGGTATTTGCGCAAATGTTTATCAAACCAATATTTTTACGATAAAATAAACTTAATTAAAATTGAGTGCACAGAAACATAATATAATACTAAATTGTTTGGTAAAATATAAAAGATGGGGAAATGTCACTTAAATAGATACCAAGACATAAAATTGCGTTCACCCGTGAAGCCGCAAAAAACTTAAATACCCCAAATTTCCCATGGGGAACACTTTAAATGCTTTTACCGCTCATCATTTTAGCGCTAACAGTGATTAATGGCTCCAGAATTATTGCTCTTACTCCAACATTCGCAACGATATGTAACATGTGTAGCTCAATTGTTGTTTTCGCACGTAGGCGCACATAAGTGTATTTGCTTGTGTATGTGCGTGGGGGGCGGGGGACGTTAAAAAATTTTTTTTACATTTTTAAACATTTTTTTTTTACACTAACCTTATTGCTATCACATAGGGGGCTTTCAGACCCCCGAATGTCACCTAGGGACCCCAAAGAAACTGAGGAAGCAGAGATCTGCTTCCCCAGCTTCTTCTCCTGGATCTAAGAGCCGGAGAATGTAAACAGTGACACCAGAAGTGACACACAGCCGTGTTCTTGCTTTAACCACTTCTGCGGGCCGCCATATATATACGTATTGCGGCCCGCAAGTGGTTAAAATCTTCTCATCCATCAAGCTGATGTCTGTCTGAAAGGGTAAGCCCATTGTCCACTTTCACAAGTGAATTTGGGAAAATAGAATCCCCCCCCTCCCCCCATACTTACCTTTCTGCAAACGCTCCTTCTCTTCCGCCGCCACGGGTGTACTATCCATACCCTGTACTGCCATATAGTGTAGCTCAGGGCTATGGATTTTAAATTTCACTTGCATATGATGAGCACGTATCGGTCAGCACAGTCACCTGACTATGATGACCATTGAGAAGCGCTACTTAGCAAAAAGCGCTTCTTACTGGTCAAGTGTGGTTAGAAGTCAGTCAAGAGATCGCACTGATCAATGAATGCTCGCCATTTGCAAGCAAAATTAAAAATCCATAGTGCAGGGCTGCACAACACGGCAGTACTGGGTACAGATAGTGTTGAGGGGATGGAATGTTTGTCAAAAAATAAGTATGGGTGGGGTAATTCCTTTTTCCAAAATTTACTTGGTAAAGTGGACTTACCCTTTAGGGAAAACAATATGTATCTCCTTATTATGGAAGGTTTAAACAACTTGGAACATTTAATAACTTACCAGTCCTGAGATAAGACAGCTGCATTAGTGTTTTTTTGGGCTAAAAACATTTTCAGCAAGTACAGAAAATACACGTTGATCAGAAATGTTGTGTCTTTGCCACATACTGTGAGCTGCACTGCAAACAACTATTCCCATTGAACCTCATGTAATGGAAATAAACAAAGGCAGACTATAAGAAGTCCAGCCTGGGTAGCAATCATGGCTGACTCCATAGATAGAGTGAAGGAGTAAATGTAGCAACCCAGGGACAAGGAGTGTGTTATTCACAGAAATAACAGGTGAAAATATAGCAAAAAAGCCTGACCAGAAAACTAATGCAGCAACCATATCTAAGGACTGCTGAGCTGCAATGTATTAAATTTTTTTGATTGAGATATTTTTTTAAGACAATACCAGTGTAGCTAGAGTCTTTATAGCATTTTTGGTCCCTCCAACTTCCTGATGTTCACTAACTGTGAGGCAATAGTAAATGAACTTTAGGGTGTAAAATTAGAAATTATTTGGAGGTTATTGTAGAAAGCCTGATCTGTGGCCTAAAGCAGTTATTGAGACGCTAGCCTATTTACTCAAGTCTAAAATGACCAGAGGTGGGGCATTGTAACTTTATTGGTAGGGCATCCTGACATAGGAATAAATAATAGGAAAAGCCCTATGAAGGATATGTAGTGGATAGGTATGTCATTTCTTTTGGGAAGGCTTTGCCTCCCTGTGCCTCCCCATGTTGGCAGCTCTAGAAATAATAGGATACTTCTGACTGATTGTTATTGACAACACTTAACATATCACTTCTACAATGCACAGATGAGAATTAACTATTTAACTTACCATGAAACATGGTGAGAAGTTTGTACCAGATACTATCCTTTAGGGCAGTCTTTCTCAACCGGTGTGCTGCACCACCCTGCGGTGCGTTCTGGTTTTGTCAGGGGTGCCTTCAAATGTTTGAACAGTATCATGCATTTCCATGGTGCAGGCAAGCTGACCACCAGCAACATGGAAACGCATGAGTATAATCCAGGGCAGGCTGCTTTAAGGACCTCCCCCAGCATTTAAAAGAGTACAGAAGTCCGCCTCCGTCCAGAGCTGCTCCGTCTCCCACCCTCTACAATGCTGTCGTAGCCATACTGCGATTATGATTATAAGGGAGGACTTTCATGTGAAGGGGGCTTCTGATTTAAATGTAAAGGGGGGCTAATCAATTTTTCCATTTACTTTTTTACATTTTAGACCAGGGTACCTCGAAATTTTGCATTCTTTTAAAGGGTGCCGCCACTGAAAAAATTATGTAAAGGAGGGATCCTTATGTAAATGATGAGAAGAAAGGGTCCCACTATAAAGGGGGGGCTCCTGATGTAAAGGGTGCTCATGATTGAAATGGGGACTCTAATGTGAAAGGAGGAACAACACATCCTTTTTTTTGTTTGCATTAGTTCCCTCCAAATCCATACCAGACCTCTATCTAGGACAAGACTCTGATCTTGATGCCTGCTTCCTGCTGCCACAGACAGTAAAGAAAATACATTTTTGGACTACTAGTATGCAAATGTGACCTAATTAAAACAAAAGCACATTAGTAAATGGGTTTTTAGAATTGTGTGTATGGGAGTGAATGAGGGAAAACTATTAAAACGTTGCAATAAGACCCAGTAATCTCTAGTTACATATCTGATGATAATATGCAATATTTTGTTTTTCAGAGGCTACGCGTTTGATTGAAGACAACCCAGGTAAGAGATGATGTGTTTGTGACATTTATGACTTACATTTCAGTCTATGGAAAAACAATTTTGTATCTAGTTAAATGTTAGACATATACTAGAAATACAATAAGCTATTTTTAAGTGGACTGCTTAGCATAAAGTAATATTGTAAGGAAAATAGGAGAAAATGTATTTAATCTCACTACATTCAGACTCACTATTGCAGATTTCCCTGCTATAATCCACTAATGTTAATATGTGTGATCCGCACACTGGACTTGTTCACATAAAGTTGTTAGATCTGCTGCACATTCATAAAGACTACACATTGGAAGGGTCATCTGCAACACACGCAGTGTGTGTGTGTATATATACCAGTCATGGCCAAAGATATTGAAATTTGGCGCCCCTGCATTTCTGTCAGATAATACACCACTTCGCCCAGAAAATTGTTGCAATTACAAATGTTTAGACATTCTCATGTTTATTTTTTTAAATAACTGAAATCAATGGCTTCCTGTAACCATCAATGAGGTTCTTACACCTCTATACAGGAATTTTGGAGCACTCTTCTTTCGCCAACTGCTCCAGGTCTCTCAGATTTCCCAAATGCTGTTTTGAGATCTTTCCACAGGTGCTCTATGGGATTCAGATCTGGACTCATTGCTGGCCAGTCCAGTACTCTCCAGCGCTTTGTCTGAAACCATTTTTGGGTGCTTTTTGATGTGTGCTTTGGGTCGTTGTCCTGCTGGAAGACTCATGACTTCTGACAGAGACCCAACTTTCTGACACTGGGCCCTACATTGCACCCCAGAATTCTTTGGCAGTTTTCAGAGTAATAATATGCCATGCACAAAGTCAAGACATCCAGTGCCTGAAGCAGCAAAGCAACCCCAAAACATCAGAGAACCTCCACCATGTTTGACTGTAGGGACTGTATTTTTTTCTTTAAAGGCCTCATTTCTTTTTCTGAAAACAATAGAATGATGGGCTTTGCCAAAAAGCTGTCATTGTGTTTCGTCTGTCCACAGCACATTCTCCCAAAAAGATTTTGGCTTCTTCAGGTAAGTTTTAGCAAACTCCAATCTGGCTTTTTTATGTTTCTGTGTCAGCAGTGGGGTCCTCCTGGGTCTCCTACCATAGTGTCCCTTTTCATTCAGATGGCGACAGATAGTGCGAGCTGACACAGTTGTACCCTGTGCGTAAAGGTCAGTTGGAATTTGTCTGGAAGTTGATGGAGGGTCTTTATCCACCATTCGAACAATCCTTTGTGGCAATCTTTGATCATCACAGGAGTGAGCTTGGAGCCGTGGCTACCTAAAAAATAAAAAAATAAAATAACAATCAAAAACAGGCAGTACATTGTTTTCATTGAGTTGGCTGCAATTTTTGCTTATATTATAAGAAAGAGCAGTAAATCACAACTATGTAAGGACCATGGCTGCTCCTATGTGCAATGTACAATTAGAAACCATACATAGAAAAAATCTGTTTATTTAAAATATATCACTAATTCTGGTCTATTTCACATGTAGTTCTGTTTTTTTTTTTGGGGGGGGGCTGAGAAATGGCCCTATCATGACAGGCTATGGCACTAAACACACACGGAAGATTAGTAATATTACATACATTCAATGTATATGCAAACATACAGCATCAGAAAATGGGCTCGGGTATAGCAAAGATACCTCTGGATGAAAGTGGCAGCCAAGACCAGTTGCAAGGGACCATGGGGATGGACATAGGTGTGGCGTCCATCCTGATTCTGATGAGCTGAAGACTGGGTCACCAGTGATTAGGAGATCCCCCAACCAGCAATCAACCAGCCTGAGAAGCATCTTCTTACAGGCAAAGTCAGTGGTGTTACACTGGAACGCAATGTCAGCTTAGTGGTTTTCTAATCGGTATGTAAGCGGACCTCTAGCTACCTATGAGCTGTTGGATGCCTCACCTGGCTGTATCTTATGTTGTTTACCTATCCCTGAGCTAATGTTAACTAGAGAATCCCAGACCTGAAGAGACAGCAGCTACTTAGTCATTGGAGCTGCAAAAAACCCTCTATTTTAGGTCCACATAATATACTATAATGTAACCACTACATACAGCAGCACTGACCTAGCACATGGAAGATAATAATAGCAAAGAGATACTTCTGTCACCAGACTTGCAAAATAAAGGGACGGTTCTCACCATAGCATTACGGTAAAGGTATGGTACCTGTGCATTTAGTGCACACACTATCAACCAGTGCAGTGCACCATACCATTAATTTGAATGGCACCCCAATGCACCTCCAGGTGGGCATGTGTCGTGGCGCAACATGCAGTACCACAATACATGCAGTACTCTTTTCACTACATAGCAATGCACAGTATTGTGGTACCGCTGTGCTGCAACACACTACCGCAGGGAGGTGTATTGGGATGTCATTCAAGTGAATGACTACTCAACGCACCAGCTTAACTAGCATGCAGCGCATTGCACTGTGCTAAAGCATGTGCTAAACACTGAGGTACCGTGCCTTTAGCACAGAGCTATGGTGTGGACTGGCCCTCACACATAAGTTATGTGCAGCAGCAGTTAAAAGATTAGGACATGGGGACACTTGCCTCTGGTCTGTATAAAATACAGCAGCAGCTCATACATGCAGGGATATGTAGTCCAATATTGTCTAAACTCCCTGGAAACCTTCCTATATAAAATTATCACAGTCCTCCAGTCTGGGGTTCCTGACCCAAAGGCAGGGAAAAGGACATGTTGACCCTGAAGCAGGAAGTGCTTGTCTGTACCCAACAAACTCAACAGCTGTTTACAAATACAGACAACAAAGAAGCAACTCCATACACAGACATAAAAAATCATTAAAAACAACATACATTCTCTTTAAAACCCTATCCTGCACTGTGTGGCAGCATCAGAAGTAATACCATCTGTCCATAGTTGGGAATTCTGCTTTAGTACAAGGATACTTCATGCTGTAAAAATCTTTTCTCAAAGGTTTTCTACCAAGCCTGCCACCCCAAGTAATGACTTAACTATTATGTGGTTCACCCCTTTCCTTTATTTTGTCTTATAGACCCAATAAAGAAGTACAGAGAATACATGGAGCCCAAAATTACTGGCTGTAAAGATCTCTTTGACAGGCAGCTACTTGTTGTGGAAGAAAGTCTTTTTTCCATGTCTGAGTTAGATAATATCAGTTTCAGAGACCAGCAAAAAAATATGAATGCAAAAGAGTTGTTCACAATAGAAAACCAACAGCTTATGTCGAAAAGAATGCTTCTTGATGGTGATGTTGGGACAGGAAAAAGTTACTTCTGCAAATGGCTAGAAATGGAATGGGTGAAGAAAGGAAACACACTGTACCAATGTATAACGTATGTGTCTGGCAAGAAGATAAATAAGAAAGATGAAAAAACAAGTGTGAAGAAAATTTTGGAACAAAAATGCAAGGATCTTTCTGACGTTCTTCGCATGCCTCGTGTTTTGCTCATTCTTGATGAACTTGATGACCTTGTGTATGATGCAAACATTACCGATACTGATCTGCCTCTTGACAAAGATAATAATCTGGATATTGATACTCTTTTGCCATTGAACACCTTGATAGAAAACATCATTAACAAACATTTGCTTCCTGAAACCGATGTATTACTTGTTTCTCGTCGTGACTCACCAATCAGCAAACTCTGCACGTCTACATTTGTACTTCAAGAGTTCAATGGTGTTGAAGCCTACAATGTCTATGACACAGTTGGCCGACTGTCAGCTGATAAATATAAAACTATGAAAGATATTTCCTACAATCCTGCTTTTGTTTTAATGTTGTGTAATTTCAACAGATGTGCTGAAAAAGTACAACTCACCAGTCCTCATGAGTTGGTAATCTTTTTCCTTCAACAGTATTTAAAAGAATTGTATGGTGAGGGGGGACATGTGGAAGAACAAATTCTACAACTGGCTAAGGAATCATATGAAAACCTTATCAAAGGAGAGCAAAATAAAATTGAATCTACAAGCCAATGGAAACATTTTCTGATTTTTTTCAACAGCTCAACATTTAAATATCAGTGTAAATACTTGAGAGATATGTTAGCTGCCCTGCACTGCGTATGGCAGTCAAAGATGGGAGAGAGCTTAAAAGACTGCTTAGACTTCTGGCTGTTTGGGGCTCATATAGGAAGAAAACACATCTGTCCATTGCTCTCCCCTGTTGCCAAAGAGCACCACACAAAATACTATAATTTTACAAGGTTCTTCATGAGACTTCTGCCTTATCCAGATTATAACAGCCTGTGTAACAACACTCCAAATTTGGATGATAACCTACGCAAATTACTCAGAGATTATTTCAAAAATATTCTGAAGGATCATAATGAGAACTTTGACAAGCTTGCAGTGGTTCACTGTGTTTTTGAACTCCATGATGATTATGTGACTAAGGCATTTTCTTCCATTGAACATTTCTCCCTTATGAACACACCACTGAATTCCTTAGATATCCGATCCATTGTGTACTGCTTTAAAGACGTAAAGCTTCAGAAATTCGATTTGAGGTTATGTGCTCTTACGGGCGAATACGTGAAACAGATGAAAAATATCATCAAGAACACAGGCTATGTCTTGTAAGTTTTTACATTGTCTTTGTCATTCATTGCAATGTCATTTTTAGTACTGCCATAAAGCACTTTACTAAGAACATAATGAGATTGATTTACTAAAGGAATATGGAATGTTTGCTCTGAAAAGTAAAGTTTTACTTTGCTCAAGATATATATGTGTCTTTCTATAAGTGTTAACAAAAGTTTTACTTTGCATGGAAATTTTCATTTGTTTAGTGAATGTGGTGACAATTAACTTTGCAAAGAATAGCTAATTACATACAAGTAAACTACAAAAACAGGGTTTTGCACATGATTGGATGATTTAACTCAGCAGAGCTTCACCTCATTCGCTATGTTAAGAACAAATTTCCTAGCAATGTAACTTTGTTAAGTGAGCAGCCTATACGCCTCAAGTACACCAACCCCAATGGCTCCTGTATTGTACTATACAAAATCAGTATCAATCGCAATACCTAAACATCATGGCTCTACTGAGCTTAGCAAACTTTTCTTTTTACAAAAATACATGTTTGATATGCCAGATTTGTTGTTTTTTTTTTGGCATTGGTTACTTGTTAGTTAGGTGGCCTCATTGAAGAGCACACGCTAGAACCATGTGTTTATCTAAAACATTTAATGTCTATAAAAAAAATGAAGGAGAATTGCTCATGTTTCCAAGTACCATTGTCTGAAGACAGTGAATGGGATATCAACTTGTAAGTGTAGTGGTAGAAACCCAAAGCAGTCCATGAAAACATCAGTGCTGTTGTTTTAATTCCCTTTCATGCAAAAATCTTGCTTTATTACCACTGTAAGTAAAATTGTGATGCCATCTAGTAGTGCCCCTTTATATAAGCCTATTGTAAGGCCATATCTGTAAAAAATAAGTTAACCCTTTCGCTGCCAAGCCCTCCGAAACATTTTGCAATTCAGCTGGCCACGCCATTTTTGCAATTTTTCCCGTTGATTTGATTTTTAACTGCTGCGTTGCTAGCGTTTGTAAAAGACCCCCCAAACCATATATTTTCTGAAAGCGCAGGCCCGGTAGAATAAAAAGATGGTGATACTAATTTTGTAGGCCGTGCGATAATTGCGCAAATGTTTCTCAAATTAATATTAAACCGATAAAAATACACAATTCAATTGATAAAACACACTAAAATCAGTATCCGTGCACAAAAAAAATTATTTTCTAACTAAATCTAAAAGATAAAACTGTATTGAGTTAATAAATAACAAATATTAGCAAATTTGTAATTGCGCCTTTTTGCGAAAAGGTAAAAAAATGAAGGTACGCAAAACTGTAAATAAGCGACTTATGTTAAAAATTGTTTTTATGCTGTGTTGGTGTTTGTGTTGTGATAAAATGATACAGGCGTATATTTATTGCAACACAAAGATCACAACGCATGGCAATGCGTCACAAAGCTTTGCCATGCGCTGCCACAGTTAATTTAATTTTTTTTTAAAGAAAAAAATACATTAAAAAAATCATGCACTGCGATGCGTTCTAACAACGCACTGCAGCGCATGTGCATGGCGTACACCTCAATATGTGTATGTTATGTGGGGGGAGGGAGGGGTTGTGCTTTTTTTTATTATTTTTTTTTTACACATTTTTTTATTTTATTTATTTTTTACATTTTTATTTTTTTTATTTTTTATTTTTTTACATTTTCTATTTATTTTTTAATAATTTTTTATTTTTTTTTTTTTACTGTTGGGGGGGCTGCGGCGAAATATCTGGGGTCTAAATAGACCCCTGACATTTCCCTTTTGAAATAGAAAAAGAAATTGAGGACACAGAGTCCTCAATTTCTTTTTCTGCAGCCTCAGCACTCAATGAATGGGAAGCACTCAGTACAGAGTAGACATGTGCGATTCGTTTTGTTACGAATCGTAATCGTAATTTCCTGAAATTCGTAAATTCGGAAGCATACGAAATCTGAATTGCAATGCTTCCGAATCTACCTGAAATACGAAATTCCGTTGACGAATTTCGGATCCGAATCCGAACTAATATTACCCCTTTGACTGAGGTTGAACAACATGGCAAGATTTTTTTTTAATCCGAAATACGAAATTCCGTTAACGGAATTACGTATTTCGTGCCTGTAATGCAACCCTCAGCAGCAGAAGAAAACCTCTGATTGGTCAACCAAACAGTCACGTTTCCAATTTCGGATCCGAAATTCGTCAACGGAATTTCGGATAAAAAAAAACTACCATCTACCACTACCATTACTGCTGATAGTAAAATATTTACTATCAAGCAGTTTATGAATAGGGAGAAGCCTCTATAGTGAGTACTACTCCGCATTAAGAAATTCATGAATGAACAGGAAGTGATGTAAATCACAGCCTGTTCATTCATAACTGGGGACACATAGTACTATGGGGGTTATTCACAAAGCTGCCGAAGGATCTAGCCGTAGCTTCGGATAGCTTCGGCCCCGGCACCCCTTCAGTTCAGTAGAACCGAAGGGCTGCTGTACGGGCTATTCATTATAGCCAGTACAGCTCCCGAAGTTGGCCGAGCGGCTCAGCTCAATAATTTACTACGATCTCCAAAAATGAAATAATGAAATATTGGTATAATCTAAACCAGGGGCGTCCACAATTTTTTGTTCGGAGATCTACTTTTCAAATGACAAGCTCAATGAGATCTACCAACGAAAAAACACCTGCATTCAGGGGGAGGGGGGGGGGAGGCACAGCATGGAGGTGCATTGAAGTCAATGCCACCGCAGCTATGCCCTTCGCCCACACCCGGAACGCAGGCACATTAGTGCCTAGGTTCCGGTCCAGTGCGATCTGCAAAAATGCTGCAGGCACTATTTTTGCAGATTGCACTGGACCGGAATACAGGCAGGCGATCGCACTGTGGGTGGGGGGGCATGGCTGCGATGCCAATAACTTTAAAAACAACCCTACGCCACCTCCTGCCCCTGAACACAGGGAGCCAGCCAGCTTGCATTTCAGTGTGCGTTCTAGAGGCACCGGTGTCCTGTCCTCCCGTGGTGCTCGTATGGCCGACGTTGCACACGTGGAGAGGTGTCCTGCCCCTTTCCGTCTGCTGCGTCTAACACATTCAGCCGGCAGCCACACGAGCACCGCGGGAGCATAGCGGTAGCCAGCTCCTTTTGTGCCCTAGGCAAGAAAAAAAAATTGGAGTGATCAGCTGATCGCTCCAGGGTTTGTCCTGCACAGAGGATTGGTACATATCAGGATATGTACCGATCCTCTGCCATGCACACAGGGGGGCTCAGCTTCTCCTCTGGGTCTCCGCTGCTCTCCCGGGCAGAGGCAGCGGGGGATTCGAGGACAAGTGAGGGAAGTACTTCAGCCGCTGGGGGGGGAACGGAGCCGGTGTCACAGCAGCATGTGCGGTGAGGAGAGAGAGCTGCCGGCTGTCAGATCCATGCCGAGCGGCTCTCTCTCTCCTCACCGCTTGGCGTGCTGCTGTGACAGCGGCTCCGCCGGCTGTATCGCTTCGTTCACTTCTTCTGAGATCCCCGCTGCATACAGATGGGGGAGAGCAGCGGGGATCCAGAGAAGGCCCATGGCAGTAGGACAGGACATCGCGATCTACCAGGGATCACTTTGCGATCGACTGGTAGATCACGATTGACCTAATAGGCACCCCTGATCTAAACCTACATGGCACAAAAATATTTTGTTTCAAAAACGTTATTCCAGTATGAGGTCACATTATATGAAATGGAAGAGAAAAAGAAAGACCAAACTCAACTTTCATTAATTATCAGGATTACACAGATGAATACTGCATACTTTTACAATGATAGTTAAATTTTCAATGTTAGATATGGTCCAAGTAGTAAAGTAATACTATTACATACAATATATGTATATATATAATTTCTATTTTGTTATTATTTTATTATTGTAGGCTTAGCTCAAACAGATTGACCTCAGAAACAGGAATATTTTTGGGGGAGTTGCTACAAGAACCTGAATGTCTCATAGAAAAGCTTGCGTAAGTACATTAATACTGACTTATTGTCCTTTTGAAACGTCACTTGAATTTTAACAATGGTATGCAGAACTGTACCTATAAGAAGGCGTCCTGGGCTGTTTAGGCGACATAATTTTGGGTCATGTGGGGGAGGTGGTAGGCAGAACGACATGGCCGCTGTGCTGCACAATGTTTGCAGTGTACCTGCCAGCCCATTTCCGGCCAGAGCGCCCCAGGTTGCTAAGAGCCGGGTGGTGAGATGTGTAAGGTCCATACACATCATCCCGCCCAGCTCTTAGCAACATGTTATGCTCTAGCCAGCGTCCCACCCAGCTCCTGGCAACCAATGACGTCATTGGGCTGGGCGCTGGCCAGAGCTGGGTGGGGAGATAATTGGAGATGATGCAGAGAAATGGGTACCATGGATATTTCAATTCATATTTATTTTGTCCATCTTTCATCCCTCAACTAATAGACCTGCCTTTGTCTGGCTTTCATCCATACATGACATGAAATACATCCATCCATATCTGGTAATGTCTTGCACAGGCAGGAGAATGCAGTACAAAACACATAGTAAGCACTGTAAGTGAGCACACTGTAAAGGAAAAGTAGATATATTGGTGGAATAGGAAAGGTGGACACTTTGCACAGTAAATTGAAAGTAGACATTACAAAATAAAATGGACTTGAATCAGTTAAAGCCCACATCCATTGTCCCAAACAATTAACCAGGTCTTTTTTCCTTTCCCTTGCTGCACAGCTCCCAGCACTTTATTTTAACTGATGCTTACATATCCAAGCACTGCAGGTATGTCAACTGGTCAATCCAGGTTGAGCACTGTGAGCTGATGAGGCTTGGGGGTATGTCCATGACAGTTGGACTCACTAGAAGGGGTTGGATGATGCAGGGCATCATTCAACTAAAAAGTGGGTTGGCACAACTACACAAGGTGGATGCACAGAGCAGCGCTGGACTGCCGAGAAGTCCTTTATTGTATTTACAGTTAAACACAAACAAGAAGGACCAAACATTTAGCGGGTTATTCACAAAGCTGCTGACAATGACAGCTAGCTCCGCCCAACTGTTTCATATTGGCCGGTACCTGCTAGAGTCTTCTAGCAGGTCCCAGCCAATGAATAACAACTGGGCGGAGCCTGCAGTGATGTCACGGCTGGCTCCGCCCAGTTGTTTGTTTAATGACAGTCCTGCGTCCCCAGGTCATTTGGGGATGCTGATTTGTCATTACAACTGGGCGGAGCCAGCCGTGAGATCATAGCTCTGCCCAGCTGTCACATGCGGGACGAAAGGCCGGCCTTTGGCCGGCCGTTCTCCCCGTTTCTGCTGTCACTTCGTCTCAGTCAAGCCGAAGCATATGTCTTCGGCTCGGCCACCTTCGGCTGCTGTACAGGCTATAGTGAATAGTCCGGCGGCCGAAGAGAGCCGAAGCTACGGCTGGATCCTACACAAATAACCCCCTAATATTAATTTAAAAAGGGGAAAGCTGGAGTTGGGCTTTCACAAATGTTGTGAATACATTATTGCCTGACTACTAAATATAAGTAATGTAATTTCTACCACATGAAAATACTCAGTTTAGGGCAAACAAATAACAGGTTTAGAGGAATTACAGGATGGATGGATGATTTAAGGGAGGGTATGTCTGGACATTGGAGCTGCAATGTCTACCCATGATTGCATGTAATGTTACATTAAAGGACAAAGTAGGTTTACATGAGAGGGTGGGTAGCCACTGTCTGAGCACTTCTGTACTAAAAGAAGTTAATGGTGATGATTGTATGATTTTATTTTGGTAGTACCATAGGGAGAAGACGACAATAGTTGTCTAGCCTACGGAACCAAAGATGACAGAAAATGTCCTTTCTTGACTCTTCTCAAATTTTATCATACCAGTAAACAAGGCAGGCAACTATTTCAAATTAATTTTCAATGCACTCACAAATAAAATTTCTATTTGTGGAATCAACACATTTTAGCAATAAGTCCCGTTGATAATAATATGAATAATGAATTTGTCTATTGGAATAGCGTTGAAGACTGTGTAGGTAACTCCTTACAAGTCTTTGCAATATTTTTTTAATGATCATACTGAACAGCATATTATACCTTGACCTTATATCTACTAAATGGTTGCAGTTTTCAATATGGATAGATCCTGTTGTAAAATGTAGTAGTTCCTAAAACAGTCATTAATAAAGTTGTTTAGTTTATTATAATGTTGTCCTGATAAACTATGTAATAGTGCAATTTACTGTGCAGTTTGAGAACACTAATAAAGCATGCCTGATACTGGATTTGCACAGGTTAGGAACCAATGACCTTGGCCCAAATGGTGCAAAGGCTCTTTGGAGAGCTCTGGAACATAATAGGAGCCTGAGAAGTCTTTATCTGTATGACAACAATATTGGAGGAGAAGACAACAACTTTGAGATGGTTGAACATTTGCTGAAGAAAAATTCCCTTAAGGAGCTACAGTATGTAAAAATATTTTATTTGGAGTTGATACCTTTTCTACATTTCCTTTTAAATACCTTATTTGTATTACATAGAACTCACCCTACTATCTAATGTTCAATGGTTTTTATGTGTTTCTTGGACTATAAGAGTGGTTTTGTGAGGTACAACCACTAGTCTAGCCTGAAATATTATTGGCTCAATGATAAAAGAATATGAAGATGTAGATATTGGGGAGTACATACATTTTAACAATGACGTGTCACAGCAGTTATCAAGTGAAGCTTTAATACTATTACCTAAAGGTAAAACATCCTGGGAGAGGTACACAGGCTGCCACAGATGGCCATGCTTTTAATCCTTTCCCTACAACCGATGTAGGGCTTACGGTGGAACACAACAGTTTCCAGCTGACCAGCTCAGTAAGCCTTATTTTGGTGGCTTTCTCCCTTCTGCTATAAGCTCATGGTCGCTTTAGTAACCATGAACTTATGTCAGAACGGTTCCCCCGACGGTCCCCTTTAAAATAATAGCTGCTATCAGCGGCTGAGAAGACGCCCATTAATATTTTAAAAAGAAAGCCCCAACAAAAGGATTAAAAATGGTCCATACCTCACCGCATCTCCATAGACTCATAGGAATTCTACTATCAACATGCAATGTCAGTGTATTATACATTTATTTATTTTGATATTTTAGTTATTAATAACTCATATACAGTAACTCTTTTACTGCATAGGATGTGTGTTGTTGTCATACAGTATATCATGCACACACATACATGTTACCTGCATAGGCAGGGCTTACAGTTAAAAATAACTAGTTAAATAGCAAGTTACCCCAGGCTTCCAGTAACAATTAATATTGCTGTTGGCTCTTCAAATGCAGCCAAGCACATTGCATTGACTCTATGAGAGCAGTCACTGTTGTTAAAAGGTCAATAAATCTTCCTTTCTGTAAGCAAACTTTAGGGCTATGACATTACGCGAGTAGTCACAGGTACCGTACTTGATGAGCAGTGAGAACTTCTTGCAATGTCCATTGCCAGTAGCTTCTCCAGGATGCTCTTTAGCACTTTTCCAAAAAATGCTCAATACAGAAAGCCATCTTCCTGCTTTGCTCTTTCTGAATGTACTCTCCAGAAAGGCAGTTGAAATTCCCTAGGCATAGCGTACAAATGTTTTGTACTTCCCCAACTCTATTCCCCTCCATCCACTCCCACCCCATTCTTAGCAAATTTTCTTTGTCTCTTTGTTCTCCCGTGCTGCCATCTTCTACTCTGATGTCATCAGGGGGGCAGCTATCTCTTCTGGGTTCTCGCAGCCAGCCCCCTGATGACACGCATCGGTTGTTGCACATCAGCAGGATAGCTGTGGCAAGAACCAGGAAGAGACAGTTGGTTGTCCTCAATACCCCTAGGCCACGTGGGATGCGTGACATGGGTATCCCAGGAGGCTATGGGGAACACATACTTTATTCTCGCCTTAACAAGAATACAGGAAGTGTGGGGAGGTTACCAGGAAAAAGTATTTAACAAAAAAAGATAAATGAATAATAAATATTACAAGGGGGAGTAGGTGTGGAAGGAGAGCAAGTGGGTGCGGAGGATGAAGATCCGCTTTAACATACCCATACAAGAGCTACAAAATAAGCAGACAAATATGTTAAATATTAAATATTGCTAATCATTGCTCTTTGGAGCCACTGTTTGGATTAGTAAAAAGTTGATGTTCAACTTATAGATAGGCTTGGGGTCAAGAGTTAAAGTTTAAAGTGTAGGTTTAAAGTTAGGTAAGGGATGGGGGTTAAATGTTAGGACTAGACTAGGCAGCACTTCTGCCTTGCAGCACTGAGGGCCCCCAGTTTAAATCCCGGTCAGGGCACTATCTGTAAGGAGTTTGCATGTTCGCCCTGTGCTTGCGTAGGTTTCCTCCAGGTACTCCAAAAGACATGCTGGATGGTTAATTGGCCCCTGTCTAAATTGGCCCTGTATGGATACATGTGAGGTAGGGACTCTAGGTTGTAAAGCGCTGCATGAAATGTTGGCGGTATATAAAAATACCTGTAATAAATATTAAATAAAAAAACAGACTAATTGTTAAGGGGTAATTGTCACTGTTAGGCTTGTTAGGGTTAAGTGTGAGGGTAGGTTATGTGTTAAGGGTTAACATATTGTTACAAAAAAGTGATACTTGTGGGGCATAGGTGTCCATACTCAAATTCGCATTTGTTGCAGTGCTCAAAATCCAGCACCGGAGTATCCTGCACCAGATGTGAGTATAACTCTGTGTATACTAAAAAAAAATTCTGTATGTACTCGATAACATGTTTTTTCCACTTTCTTTCAGCCTGTGTCTGAATTATTTTAATGCAAAAGCAATTGAGACTATAAGGACCCTGAAAGCCAAAACGACAGAGCTTAAAGTTGTGGTGGGAATATCAGAGGACTTAGAGCTGTTTGAATATGTTGAGACAAAGGTAGAAGACTTATTCAAAACATGGAGAAACTACAATAAGGTGTGGCTTAATACACTTCTACAAATTGTGCAAGCAGATCTCCAGAATAAAGACTGGGATATGGATGTAAAATTAACCCACGAAAGGGTGGAAAAACTGATCAATGAAATCGAAAGCATCATGAACATCATCGAGAAGGGAGAATCCACGTGAGAAAACTGAAAGAAACTGCAAAATGCTGTTTTGTCTGAACTGTTCTCCAGCTTTTCACTTTTAGTAAAGCAGATGATGAACTTTCAGCACCTTATAAAATAGACGTGCTCTCTGTTTCTTGCACCCATTTTCTTTGACATTCCTGGACTTAGTAGCAATATAGGTTATTGCTATGAAAAAAAATGTGTGGAGTTCACGTAAAATTGAAAACCAGACCCGTAATCCCAGCACTGGCCTGGCCTGGGAAAATGAGTGAGCACCTCCTCCCCTGCTCTATACCAGGCCATATGCCCTTGACATTGGGAGGGTGCTTTTCCAGGGGGGATCCGTCGAGTATCTCTTACTTGCTCCATATTTAATTTTGTTGCTGTGCTTGTGACATATTCAATAAATAAACTTCGACAGTTCGGTAATAAGAAAAGTGATGGAAAGTAATGCCAAGTACTTTTTGGAGTAACTAGTCTATCGAACGTTTATTTTTTATATGCCTGTCGCCATATGTGACACATACATGATATTCCTTGAAACAGAGAATCCAATTGAAATCTGTTTTAGACACATGACATTTTATACAGAGATACGATACCTCTATGTACTTTATGTGCATATGTCTGTCCCAAAGTTTATCTCACAAGCCAGCGCCAGTTTCATAGGTTTGCACCAAGTTCATGAATAGTTTGCAGCCTTGTACACGAATTTGGCGCAAAAAACACTATTCCTGTAACCCTGAGACACTTTTCTTATGAGTCTGAACACATTTTTTTTTTAATTCCCCTCTATATGTCTGAGTGGGGCTGTTCAAAAATACTAAATCACCCCTTTATGGAACAGGATCTATTAAATCTGCCTGGCTATATGTATGAAACCGTAATGCATCCAAGGTGAGAATACAGCCAGCACAAAAAAGTGCAACAGTAGGTTGTAACCACTCAACCAAAGAGACCTAATTTTGGAATAAAATCCTGGTGGACCGTCACTCTTTTAGACATACTGTATCAGTGGCGGACCTAGGGAACAAAAGGCCCTGGTGCAAGATTTTTTTTTCGGGCCCCCCACACCCCGCCCAAATAAAACACAAACCCCCCCAACCCACACACCCTGAAGCAACCACAAAAAAATTACGTTGGAAAAAAAGAAAAAAATAGCATTGTTGTATAAAGTACTGCTGAGATTTGTAGTCCTCTATAGAAGGTGCCATTCTGCATTGCTGACACTCCCGGCGCAGAGATGGGGGGGCCCTCTGGATTCCGATCCGATGGTAGCCGGACACCGGCGGCCCCCCATCTCTGCCCCAGAGCTGTGTTAGATCAGATACTGGGCCCCCCCCAGGCTCAGGGACCTGGTTCAGCCACACGGTAGGTCCGCCCCTGTACAGTATAATGTAGGGTGTATGGAAGCAGGTGCAGCCCCCTTTTCCACCTGTTGTTACCCCTGTGTTTGCATGTGTGAGGTTATGGTGGCTCAAAGTTGACATAGTTGGATTAAATATATATGTATTTTCCCAATAGCTTTATGAATGAGGTGAAGGTCTGCTGACTTCCATCATTTAATCATGTGCAAGAAAAATCACTGTTTTTTTTATTTTCCCTGCTCGTGATTGGGTATTCTCACAACATTCACTAAACTAAAGGGAAAATTCCCCTTGCAAACTGAACAGCCTATTTGTCTTTAGAAAATCAACCCTATTGTGTTTAAATATCTCTGATTTAGTACCAAAGCTAACCAACAAGTTTATATGTTAAATAATTCACTAAGAACGAGCATAGTTATGTCGCTGGCTTTCTTCTTCATAATTCTTTTGCTATCTTTGATTGTAAGGTATGCCCTATATTTCTGCCTATGAGGCAGTACTGTATGGTGTTGCATAATAATAACTCATGTCTGTGTAACCAGAATTGAGGAACAGAAAAGAGGATGACATTTTCGAAAACAAATCATTTGTAACACAAATGCAGGTTTGCCAGTTTGACCATTTTGTGTTCCTTTTGCTGTGAGACTAATGCATGAGCTTTTGTACTGAGCAATAATTGTCAGGATACATATTCCTCAGGATAAATATGCCTTAATTATAAATATTTTCCTGGTTAAATATTTCCCTGTATAAATATGCCCCATTATAAATATTTTGCTGGAAAAACATTTCCATGCATGGCTAAACATTTCCTTTTATTTGGCCATCTTCAGAAACACAGATGGTCTGTGCAGGGCACTGCATGTTGCAGAATAAATATGCTAAACATACCAGCACTAAATTACCTGTCAGGAGAACAATATGACCAAACCATTATGAGAATAATGAGAAAAGAGAAAGATCCAGGCTGAGATAGAGAATTGCCTGTAATGTGCAGCACCTCCATCCCTCCTCTCTGCCTCCTAACTCCTCCTTGTATTTGCTCACCCTTCCAATCTCTTGTTCCCATGCCTGGCTGTCTATACCTCCTGACACTCTGGCTGTTCTGTCTCATCTCTGCTGCCTGCAGCTGATTTTTTCGCATTCTAAGTCACATCTCTCCTCTCATTTCATCTGTCATTTACCTGCTGCACCACTGATCTTCCTGTCACCTTCTTCTGTCCTCTTTTTATAACCCCACATCATTTTTTTTTTCTTTTTCATTCCAGCATACAGATCTAGCAGAGAATTTCCATATCATTACCTTAGTTACCCTTTGTCTCCCCTCCATCTCCATCCTCTCTCAGTGCCAGGCTGTGTCACAGCTACTGCAGTATGGAGGATGTGGATGGTCAGAGTACAGGCAGAGCCCAGCAGATAACAGGTCCGTAGAGATGTATCTGTATCTCATGTGTCTTTTCATTCTCCCATTTTCCCATGAGCTCATGATTTTGCCTGTATCTTTGGCACAGCCATGCGTTCTGTCTTATGTCTCATAACCATCCCTTCTAAGGACAAATAGAGCTTTATATGGTTGTTTATTGGTAATGAATGCATGGATGATGTTTGTAAAATGCTATCTCTGCTACATTGTTATATAACAGTGTGAATGGTATGGAATTTTATTGCGGTGTATATTTGTTTGCATTAATTATACCAATTATTTTGTAAGCATCCAGCACATAAGTATGTTTTGCACAAATCTACGTGTGTGAGAACGTCATAAGCCCATAGGCTGATTGTAATCATGGTGTTAAACAGGGTCCTTATGGTAAAGTGGGTCACATGATACGCCTGCCTGCACTGCAAGCTGTACTTATTTCTGGTCAGAGACGTGTCCTGTCTGTATCTCAGGAAACAATACCATAACCATTGTGCGGCTTGGCAGTCAACACACTGTGACTGCCAAGCAGTTTTGCTTACAGAATTTCAAAGGCATGATTTAGTAAAAATAGGATTTGAGACAGTTTTTGTGTACTGTGGCTTTTCTGAATCAGCTGATACGTTTTTTTTAATGTTTAAATCAATTTCTTTCAGTTACTGTTACTAGATTTTCTGGGCATAGCATTCCTGAATCTGTTAGCTTTTACCAACCATTATATTTAGTGGTGTTAGGCTGCATCTTGTAATAAATGATCCACACAAAAGACTTTGCATCTTGTCATCAATGATCCACACAAAAGATTGGGCTTAACGGTTTTCTTTTCGGCTAAAAAGTTGACAATGACACCTCTTCAGTTGATGTGTAGTCACTAGGTCCTTTTTAGATCCCTGCCAACTAATTGTTCCCACCAAGATTTGCAGCAAGCCTAGTCAGGGCCGTCCCTATAATACAGCAGCCTGAGTCAGTTGCCTCTGGCGGGATCTCATTGGATCGTGTGGGGAGGGGGCAACCTGTAATGCTCTGGACAGCATCCTGCCCAGCTCACTAACATCACTGGTTGACAGGAGTTGAGTGGAGCGCTCTAGTTGGTGTCCTGCCCAGCTCAGTGATGTCAGTGAGCTTGGTGGGACACCAGACAAAGGTACCAAGCACCTCCTCACCCACCACAGTTACGTGTGCCACAAACACCCTACCCGCCATAGCGTGCGTCAACACCACCACTCGAGCCACCCAGTAAACGTGCACCACCACCAAACCTAACCACATAAAGTGCAAGACCGCTCTCCCCCCCTTAACATGCACTAAACACCCCCCACTGCCTCATGTGGTGAAGTGTAGGGACACCCGTGAGCCCATGGGCTTCATTTTTTGTGAATATTCATAAAATATAAGTTTAGATCAAATAAGTGAGGACTGTAGGACATTATCATATGCATGCGGCTTGGCCAGCATGAAATGTAAATATGGTTCAGACATCAGGGAATCAATTAACCAGGTTTAAAGTGTATTTCCTCTTTTGCAGTCAAATTTGACCCCACGATATATTTGGTATGTGTTCCTATTTACAAATCATACCTAAAAATAATTAAAAGATATAGATTTCTTGTGAACCAGTGTGCTGCGCTTGGTATTGTGATACGTGCTATATTTATACCACAAACGAAACCAAACGAAACCAATATAAGTGATCAAATCCTACTTGCAACTAAATGCAATCCAAAGGTGCATATGTGCATGAACGTTAATAAATACACGTGTCATATAAATATGGTGAAGGTACGAATATAAAACTGATTGGTTAAATATGATAAGTTAAATAAGTTAATGAATAATGCATATGTGTGCCATAAAGTGAAAATACAATGTGGATACTAAATGGTTGAATTATATACCAGGTAAATTAATCAGTCTGGCAATCGGCAACAATAAATAAAAAGGACAATAATTTAAAGGAAGACTGATGTATAACCAATCTAACACATCTAAAACCACATCTAATGGTATAAAGTGAATAAATATAGGTGGATAAATATAAAATTGTATAAGCGAGGGTTGTAACACCAATAGTCTATTTTCTACCGAATGTTATTAGAAATCCAGTGTCTTTTGTTTATACTTCCATTGATGCGTCCGCAAAATAGAAAAAGGAAACCTTCTCTGTAACCTTTTAGAATTTGCTGTGTAGCGGGAGGCTTTGCAACCTTCTCTCTCAATTTCCAAGTAACAGGAAACTCTGGCTGTCCCTACAGAAAGACTAGGTCCACCTCATATGATGCTTCTAGATCTTTAACCCTTTGATAGGACAGACATTGTTCGAATCTAGTTTGTAACTAATAATGAGATCTGCAAACACAGTAAAGACAGGGTTAATTGTGGTAATATTAATCTCCCCACCCCCTTACATTCAAGAGCAAAACTATAGAGGACAACTTTTCTTTCAGAATAGAGCAGTCTTTCTCAACCAGTGTGATGTGGCACCCTGGGGTGCCTTCTAGTTTCCTCAGGTGTGCCTCAAAATTTTGCAGAGTCATGACTTTACATAGTGTAGGCATACTTCTAAAGGGGGCTCCTGAAGTGAAAGAAGAGAACTCTGATGTAAAAGAGGGGCTTCTGATGTGAAAGGAAGGGGCTTCAGATGTGATGAGCACTCTGATTTGAAGAGGGGCTCTTGATGTAAAAAGGGGACTTCTGATGTGAAGGTGGGACTCTGATTTGAAAGGATGAGGCTTCTTATGTGAAGATAGCTCCTAATGTAAAGGAGTACTGTGATGTGGAAAGCGGGATTATGATGTGAAAGGGGGTCCTGATTTGAAGAGGCGGCTCTGATGTAAAGAGCTTGTATTCCAGTATCCTGCTGCACTCCTTACCGGGTATCCTGGTCAGTGTGGGTGCTCGAAAACGACCGCAGATACTGAAACTAGTTAAAAATGTCACCAGCACATGGTGGGAACATGATGTCACAGTGATGTCAGGGGGTTGGTGGGAGTGGTTTTCTGTTCATTTGCACTGTTGGTTTAGCTATATAAGGTTTTTAGCTATATAAGGTTTTTAGCTATATAAGGTTTTTCTTTAGCTGTATTGTCATTTCAAGCCTGATGAAGGGGACCCTGTGTGGCCCCGAAACGTTATCTTTTTTTACATGAAGCATCAATAAACAGACTTGTTCTTCACTTCAATACGGTGTGCTGGTGACATCTTTAACAAGTTTCTGATGTAAAGAGGGGACCACACTTTTTTTGTGCTTTTGCATGGAGACCCCCCTTAAAATCCAAGATAGCCATCTGGTTTGGATTTAGGACGGGCCAAATGTTACTTTTTACATTTAGGTTTTTACATTTTAGATTGGGTTGTCTTGAGATTTTGCATACTTTTAGGTACTGTGGCTGAAAAAAAAGGTTGAGAGCTGCTGGAATAGAGCATGTATTGTGCAAGCAACATTTTGTTTTAGTTATGCTATGTGAATGAAAAACGTGTAAAAATATAAAATAGATGTCATCCTAATTTGGCTACAAAAGTAGAAATACACTTTAAGGCTCAGCCTGAACACACACACTTGATCTCTGCAGCTTGCAGTGAAAGATTATGTTTATGAACTTGCGAATATTGATTGACTTTCTTCAAGCTGGCTTCCACATTTTCCCATCTACCTTTTGCTCCCTTCTTTCTTGCAATCAACCAGGAGGGTCATGAGGGGACAAACACCTGCCGTTTGAAAGCTTTGCAGTTGTACATTTGCCATTTTTAACTGTATTGCCATGCTGCTCAGAACCACCAACCATTGTCCTAGTTTTTTTCATTTATCATGAGCCTTAGCACATGAAGCATTAATTCTTTCATTACAACACAAATTTGCCTCGTTATCACACAGTTTGTCATTAGTTCTGATTGGTTACTTGGCTGGCTTTAGCCGGGCATCTAGAATAAACAGGGTTAGTTTGAAGGTCTGTAGTATAGGGAACACGTTTGGATATAACTCACATATTTCTTTAAAAGAGAACTATGGCCTAACCTTTTTTGGCCATAGTTCTCTTTAGGGTCATAGGAGGACATATGCTATGTCCTCCCGTGACCCAAAACACTGCATATATATAGGGCTATTGCCCGCTATATGCCAACAGAGCAGAGCCATGCCGCAGCCAGGACAGATCCCCACAATATCGTCGGGATCCCCCCCACTGGCTGATTGACAGCTGTGCATGGCCCCTCCCCTGTCTGTTCCTCCAGTCAGCAGTATTTCACTCACCCCATAATTCTCCTTTAATTGCTGGCATACAGTCAGGGCAGTCCCTATAATGGGGGTGTGTGGGTGGAAATGTGCCTGTCACCCCCCTTTCCGGTCTAGAACATCCCAGGTTGCGAAGAGTCCTTGGCAACCAGGGATGCTCTGGCCGGCATCACGTCCAGCCCCTTGCAATCAGTAAGCTGGGCTGGACACCAGCCAGAGCTAGCATGCACCACCAGCACCTCCATCCAACCACCCCTCCCGTAACGTGCACCACCAGAACCAACCCCAATGGCCTCAGGTGGCAAAAAGTCTGAGGAAACCTTGTATAGATCCACAAAAATGGTCCTTGTCATATGTTATTTTTACAGATTGTTCTCTAAAACAAAGTACAACGTTGTGTTCCACATGTACTGAATGTAGCAACAAGAAATATTATTCATGCAATGTGTCAGCCAACAAGACGTGCAGTAAAATAATTGAAACAGATACCACCCTTGATATGCCACATTTTTATGCACTTTTTTTTACATAATGTAAAGCATTCCATTTTAAGTGTTTTGTGCTGCAGACAAAAAATAAATAAATACCATTACAGTGTCTCTGTCAATCATTCACACAATCTGAAATGTATTTTAAATTTATATTTAGAGCAATAAAAAAAACTCAACTAGCTGTTGATGTTGGGCAATCAATATCAACCACTTTATACCTTTTTATTTTTAAGTAAAGTATACCACACATTGTATGCCCCATTACAAAAGTTTTTATTCTTAAA